TGTGGTGAAGGGTATAAAAATAGCGGAGAAAAAATCGAATTACAAGCCATGAATGAAATCAGCAAATGATAGATTAATGCCACCACCAGCAACGAAGCTAAGCTATAACAACAACAACAAAAATATAATTGATTAAAATATTGCATGCAAATTATGAAATTGGAATTTTTTTCTAGGTACTTGGTAGCAGTATTTTTTTTCTAATTAGCTGAAAACGAAAACTGATAGTCGCCGTCAACCTATATGTCAGCTGTCTGCTTAGGCCAAGAAATGGGTTATGTTCTATATTTTTCTAGACAGAGACAAATTTTGGAATGATTGAATGCCGTTTGAAATATAAGCGATAATTATAATTTAGAAGGATGTGGGATTCCAAGCCTTTAGATTTTCAAAAAAAAAAAAAAAAAAATCCCTGTCGTCTACTCGGGTATAAAGGATATTTATTAGAGTTCTCTCATGGGAAAGTCCTGCCGTTAAAAAACATTTTTAATAAATCGAAAATAACATATTTTTAAAATATACTTACTCACTTAGCTGGCTTGTTTACAGAACGGTTGTTCCATAAGCCGAGCTTAAAAAAAGATTTCCAAGCGCGTCGGTCTTGTGCGCAAGTCCACCAATTTGGAAGACCACGTTCCAAGATGTTGTTTTCTACTTGGTCTTTTCATCTAATTCGTGGCCTTCCCCTTCTACGGGAACCATCAGTAGGCTCATTTTTATATAACTTTTGAGCTGGAGCATTTTCATTCATCCGCACAACATGGCCTAGCCACCGTAGCCGCTGCAGCTCAATACAACTGATTATGTCGATGTCCGCGTATAAATTGTAAAGCTCGTGGTTCATTCGACGCCGATATTCACCATCGACGCTGATCGGCCCGTAGATCTTTCGGAGAATTTTTCTCTCAAACACCCCAAGAGCTGCCTCATCTGCTTGCGCAAGTACCCATGCTTCTGATCCATATAATAGCACGGGTAGTATCAGCGTATTGTAAAGTGTGAGTTTGGTCTGGCGGGAGGTGGCCTTGTTTCTAAACTGCTTACTTAGACCATAGTAGCATCTGTTGGCCATCACAATCCTTCTCCGAATTTCAAAACTGATGTCATTCGTTTTATTTATCGCGGTACCATGGTATATAAAGTCTTTAACTACCTCGAAGCTCTTGTTCTCAAGTTCCACAGTTGGTCCGAGTCTACTGGACGTCATGCGCGTTGATACCATCAGCTTGGTCTTCTCGCCGTTTACTGCCAGACCCACTTTGGCAGGCTCCTTTTCAGTTTGTTCAAAGGTGGCTGTTACCGCTCGCAATGTTCGACCCATTATATCGATGTCATCGGTGTAGGCGAGTAACATGTGTTGTTTGGTGTACAGAGTGCCATTTCTGTTCACCTTTGCGTCTCGTATGACTTTTTCCAGCAGGATGTTAAAAAGATCACAAGACAAACTGTCACCTTGCCTGAATCCTCATTCGGTATTGAAGGGCTCCGATAGGTCCTTTCCTACTTTAACTGCAGACCTTGTGCCACAGTTTTAAAAATGATTCAAGCTTCATATAATGACAGAAATAAGATTTTTATCAAATCCCACCTCAACACGTTTCGAAAAAATATTTAAAAACCATTAAGGAAAGTAGTAAAGTCGGACTGGACCGTCTATATTATATCCTTCACCACTTTGGGTATATTCTACATATGTATCCTAACAGACGTTACGTTTTTTGTTATATATCTATATCTGAACATATTTCAGTACGTTGTGTCAATCGGCCTAGCTATGGATATTTTCACGAAGCTTAGCAATATAATTCTAGACTTAATTCAGTACCCTATACCAAAAATCGTGCAAATCGGACGATATATAGGGACCGATTTTAACGAAACTTAGCACACGTCATTCTAGACTTAATTCAATACGCTATGCCAAAATTCGTGTAAATCAAATGATTTTCAGGGACTTTAGTGCACCATTTACCTAAAATCGGATGAAAATATATATGTGAGCTATATCTAAATCTGAACCGATTTTCATGAAACTTAGCACACATTATTATAGACGCAATTAAGTACGCTATGTCAAATTTCGTGCAAATCGAAAGATATATAGGGTCTTTGGTGCACCAATTACCTTAAATCGGATGAAAATATATATGGGAACTATATCTAAATCTGAACCGATTTTTCCAATTTCAATAGGGTTCGTCCTTGGGCCAAATAAATAAGCTGTGCCAAATGTCATCCAATTCGAATCATAAAGGCGACCTGTACTTTGTTTACAATTTAACATCGAAAGACGGACGGACGGACGGACTTGCATAAATCGACTCAGAAAGTGTGGTGAAGGGCATAAAAAGCCATACACCTGTAAATATTTAAGTGTAACTCCCACATCCGAGTACATACGACCATATAATTGGTATCAATTTAAAGGTCAACCACTCATCTTGAAAATATTCTTTCAACTTCTCGGGTCGATGTCCTTCAGGGGTAAATATATACGCTATAGAATACAAATTTTGTAATTTTTCATACGCTAAATATTGACCGATCTTTATCAAAACAGGCGTGCTTATACTTTTGCCCAATCCCCTTCTCCATGTAAAAATTCGCAATGTTTGGGCCACATTTGAGGCCTCTGGAGCAAAGTGAAAATCAGACAAAAATTAAGTTTTTGGTCCACTTCCACCTAAATATTAACCGATCTTTATAGAAAACAATAGGGGTCTTCATTGGCCAGAACCCATCCTTCATACAAAATTTCGTTAAAATTGGTCCATAACTGTGGCCTCTATCGTGTTTACAAATTATATTGGGCAGACAGATGGACGGACACACATGTCTAGTTCGGCTCAGCTAGTCGTGATATGACCATCGGTATACTTAAAGGTGGGTCTAGGACCAATATTTCACGGCGTTACACACTCTTGGGTCTGCACAATGCTATTATACCCTGACAACATAGTTGTGTAAGGTATAAAAATAATATTTTTTTAAAAAATATATTCCCCTAGCTCTGTTGAGACATCCTCAGCTCATCTATAAGGACTAACTTCACGACGTCTATACAGACGCATATCACCACATCTGTGAAAAACGTCCTCCAAATTGTCTAAAAGAGATGGCATTTAGATCGTCTTTGAAAGACCCCCTGCTTCAGCTTATGTATGAAAGACTCTCTGCTTTAACTAGTTTATGGAAGATTTGTCTCTAAAGACTCTTCTTCTTCTAAAAACTCTCTTCAGATCGTCTATGAAAGACTTAATGCCTTCAGCTCTTCTATAAAAGAAACCCTTTAGTCGCTGTATGAACAATTTCCTTCAGCTCTTCTATAAAAACGTACTTCAGTTCGTCTTTGAAACATATCCTCTATGAATGACTCCCTCAACACGTCTATGAAAGTCGGCATTCAGCTTGTCTGTAAAGACTCCCATTCATTTCGTCTATAAAGGCTCACTTCAGATATTCCCATCAAGTCCTATATAATTTAATTATAACATAATCTTTTATGATTGTTTTGGATCATTTACTTTGTAAATACTCCAAATGATTGCAAAAATATAAATACTATTCAAAATAAATTAAAAGAATATAAATCATTGTCAGACTGCACTCAAATGCATTTTTATTTTTTTGTTCTGTCCGAGATGACGTTAATTCAGTCTTCCATTCATGGCAGCAAACTGAGATTATTTGAAAATAAAATAAAAAACCTTGTAACTTTACGAGAAGAGAGTGACTGACAGAGTTCAGAAAAGTCCAACGACTTGTTGCGGTGCGGCAACAATAAAAAAGACCCCGACACGAGATACTGCGAAACAGAATTTACAATTAAATGTTCATACAAATAATTCTTATCTCAAGAAAAAATTGTAACAAATAAAAATAAGATTTTTTTAATAAAAAATTACACAAAATGAAAAACATGTTTTTTATTCAGAATTTACATATTAATTTTTTCAATTTATTATTAAAAAAAAAATAAAAAAATTTTCAATGACCATTGCAACTCAAAGAATGGGGTGCTGAAGAATATTTGCCCAAGCTCCATTACGGTTATAGTGTTATTAATATACTTTTTTATATTTTTAATTTTCTAAGAATTCTTATTACATTGTTACCATGTACATACAAATTGTTGTAATTGTTACAAATTATCTAAGAAATTAGCAAACAAAACACTTGAAATGTGCCAACAAATTAATCAAAAGGGACTATTTGTATGGCTTCAGACATTAATGCCATATAACTGGCATGGAGACATGAACAACTAATTGATTCCGACATATATATGTATATATGTCCAATATATATAAATACAGATTTATTGAATGGGAGTTTTGCATTTGAAAATTGATATCACAAAAATAAATCAAACAAATATAAAGAACTTTACTTGTTCATTAGACTGTTATATTAGCAGGCGCCTAAAAGTATGCTTTAAAATTGTGATCATACTACGTGAAGGGAAAACACACAGAGGAACATTAGAAGAATATTTATTAAACATTAAAAAACTATTTTTCAAGCTTCCACACAAGAAGAATATTTTTTTAAGCTTCCACACAAGGCGTGGACTTTTTAAAGAATATTTTTTTAAGCTTCCACACAAGGCGTGGATTTTTTAAAGAATATTTTTTTAAGCTTCCACACAAGGCGTGGATTTTTTAAAGAATATTTTTTTAAGCTTCCACACAAGGCGTGGATTTTTTAAAGAATATTTTTTTAAGCTTCCACACAAGGCGTGGATTTTTTAAAGAATATTTTAAAAAATATTTTTATATTTTTAAGAGATTTTTTTAAAGAATAGTTTTTCAATGACTTGTGGATTTTTAAAAATATTTTTTAATAATTTCTTAATAAATCCACGCCTTATGGAGGGCCCAAAAAATATTTTTTAATAATTTTTTTTTAAAAAATATTTTGTCAATGACTTGTGGATTTTTAAAAATATTTTTTAAATACCATCCACCATATTAATTTATTATTTTATTTTTGTAATAATTTTATATTTCTTTACATGACTTCTTAATAATCTTAACATTAATCCTATATGTTGTCAACGGTGCCAGGGTTTTATTCGGCAACTCTTCATACATTCCGCCAAAAATGGTGTAACTCACTTTAGGACGATATAGAAAAGCCATAACAGGATTACGACTACCCAAACGCATATTACCCAGCACATAGTAACCCACCTTCAAAGGACACTCAAAGGTCATATTACTTTGCTTCAAAGCCGATATGAAACCCTGTTTCATTATCGGTATTTTACTAAAAGTTGCCGCTACATCACACAGGCGGGACGTGACATTATAAAGCGTCGATAATTTCTTACCCTCACGTATTATAATACGGAATTTCGATACCGGATAAGAGATTTCACGATTAACTGTGGTTTCGGAAGAGACACTACCTTGTTCGCCGAATGTCATGTTGACAATAAAATCGGGACGATTGTCAGTCCAGGAGGTATTGAAAAACATCGGTTGAAAACAGTTGACCTGAAATGGAGATTTTAGAGATTTTGAATTTATAATGGATCCAATTTAGGCTTACCTCCCTGCCCTGAGAAATTTGTAAATATTTTATTATCAAAATTGTTGTGGCAAATTCAATATTGGAAAACATTTTCTTTCCTCTGCAACCCATGCTGCTGCATGCCCATTAACTGAGTGAGGTTTTAGAAAATTCCCTCGTAATAAATTTTTGTTTATGTTTTCGAATATTGTTTTCACAAATTTGTTTTTAATTGTATTTTTGTTTATTTCTCAATTTTCTTCTACTAACTAGTATGTAATTAGTTTCGAAATTTATTTTTATTTTCTAATTTTGGAATATTTAGTATATTATCATATCATATTGCTACCATGGGGGGTTCCTTCATGGTAGCGACATTTCTGACCAATCAACGACATTCCATTTATAATCTAATTTTTATTTATAACATTTTCGAACTGCAACGATTAACCAGTATCTGATTTTAGTTTAAAATTATTTATTTATTAGTTTATAGGTCACTGTCACTTTTAATTTGTTAAACAAACTAATTCAAGTGCATACGAACTTTGGAGGATGCTTAAAAATATTTTTTTAAACATCACTTCAAACAAGGCGTTGATTTTTTTAAAAATATTTTTTTCAAACTCTAAACAAGACGTGGATTCCTTAAAAAAATAATTTTTTTCAAACTCTAAACAAGGCGTGGATTCCTTAAAAAAAATTTTTTCAAACTCTAAACAAGGCGTGGATGCCTTAAAAAATATTTTTTGAGAGACTCAAACAAGGCGTGGATTTTTTAAATAATATTTTTTCAGGGACTCAAACAAGACATGGATTTTTTTAAGAATAATTTTTCAAACTCTAAAATGTTTTTTTTTTAACTAAACAAGGCTTGGATTTTAAATTTTTTTTTTTTTTCAACTATAAAAATATGTTTTTCAAAATCTAAATATTAAAAAAAATGTTAGCTTTTTTTAAAAATTATTTTTTTTAGTTTAAAATAAATTTTTAGTTTTTAAATTTATTGTGCTTTTTTTAAATGTCTTCTATATAATTGTCTCTATTATACAATTTTATTATAATAATATATAATTTCACATTTGTATACTTATAAGTAAAATGTTTTTTTTTTATTATTGTTTACATGAATATTATATAAGTTCTGCTATTCCTTGTACAAAAGTTTAAACTTTTCCGCCAAACGTATAATTTGTGTAATTTTCTCTTTGATTTTTTTGCCGCCCACATTTTTACCAATCACTTCCATGTTCATGTCTTTGTAGTCATCCGGCAGGGTACTGTTATCGGCCAAAATAATTTTTGTCATAAATGTGGCATGGCAGATTTCAATGGGAGCACCTCGATGGATTTCCTTCATGAAGCTGAAAAATTAAAAAAGAAAAAACGGGGGTTTGTAAAAGTATTTGAAAAAAAGTTCCAATATTCTAGTCTATGAAAGAATATTTAAAAAAAAATCAAAGCCTAAAATAGGCTTTTGAAAAAATATTTTTAAACCAGTAAGGAAAGTTCAAAAGTCGGACGGGGCCGACTATATGATACCCTTTACCCCAAATTATGTATGGGAGCTATATATAAACCTAATTGAGTAACCGTTGCATACACCATTTTTTTTTTTTTTTTTTTTTTGTAATCACTATATTCAATTTAAAACCCTCTGCTAAATTTCGTGTAACCACCATTTACATATAAGACCTATATTAAAATCTGAACCGATTTCAACAAACCTTATCACGCATCATTTTTTCTCAATAGCATTCGCAATGCAAAATTTTACTCAATCAGACAAATATTGGGAGTTTGATGTATCATGTACAAAAAATCTGAACGATTTAAAAAACAGTAAGGAAAGTACTAAAGTCGGTAAAGTCACCACTTTGGGTATATTCAACAGATGAATCCTAACAGACGTAGTATTTTTCAAGGACCAGTGAAATGAAATTGGATCCGTAAAGATGGAATTCTGCATTTGGTCTGATATAGGAGCTATATCTAAATCTGAACGGATTTCAGGAAACTTTACACACATCAATCTAGATCTAATTCATCACGCTGTGTCAACATTCGTGCAAATTTAAAGATATTGAGGGACTTTGGTGCACCATTTACCTTAAATCGGACGAAAATATATATGGGAGATATATCTAAATCTGAACCGATTTTCAAGAAACTTAATACACATCAATCTAGACCTATTTTATTACGCTGTGCCAAATTTCGTGCAAATTTAATGATATTAAAGGACTTTGGTACACCATTAACCTTAAATCGGACGGGAGCTATATCTAAATCTGAACCGATTTTATCGAAACTTAACACACGTCATTCTAGACTCATTTGAGTACACCGTTCCAAATTTCGTGCAAATCGAAAGATATATAGTGACTTTGGTGCCCCAATTACCTTAAATCGGACGAAAATATATATGGGAGCTATATCTAAATCTGAACCGATTTTCAGGAAACTTAACACACATCATTCTAGACCTAATTCATTACGCTGCGCCAAATTTCATGCAAATCGAGAGATATATAGGGACTTTGGTGCACCATTTACATTAAATCGGACGAAAATATATATGGGAGCTATATCTAAATCTGAACCGATTTTTCCCAATTTCAATAGGGTTCGTCCTTGGGCCAAATAAGTGACCAATGCCAAATTTCACAAAAATACATGGACGGACGGACGGACATGCGTAAATCGACTCAGAAAGTGATTCTATGCATATTATCAAAAGGAACCATGTGTCTATCTCGTTTCCTTTTGCCTGTCACAAACATATGCACAAAGACATAATACCCTGTACCACAGTGTGGTGAAGGGTATAAATAACATCGCAGACATCAGTCTGGATCTAACGCAGTTCTCTGTGCAAAATGTTGTCCCAATCGGACAAATATTGGGAGTTTGGTGCATCATTTACATAAAATCGGACGAAACTATATATGGGAGCTATATCTTAACCAAATTTCATCCAAATCGGATCATAAATGCGGCCTGTATTTTGTTAATAAAAATACATGGACGGACATGCGTAAATCGGCTCATAAAGTGATTCTATGCATATTCTCTAAAGGAACCATTGGTCTATCCCGATTCCTATTACCTCTTACAAACATATACACAATGACATAATATCCTGTACCACAGACAGTGTGGTGAAGGGTATAAAAATCCACAAATTTTTAAAAAATCCACGCCTTTTAAAAATATTTTTAAAAAATCCACCCTTTACTTACCCCAATAATGAATATTTATCCGTCTCTACATTCAAGGACTTCAAACACTCAATAAATGCATTATAATACATTATTAAAAATTCATCCATATGCTGCTCCAATACAGGGACCTCTACACTCGAAAACAGGAAGAAAATAATATCATGGGCCAAACTTTCATATTGGGCAATTTGGAAATCAACAAATTTCACTTTTTCCGGAAAGCCATTTTCATCTGAAATAAAATCAAAATTTTTTAATTGGAATATTTTTCAAAACTTTCTTTAAATTTCGAACCATATTTCAACATTAAATTATTAATCCACAAATCGCAATGTACAATGGTGGTGTAGAGATCATCCTCCGCATCAGGTTGGGTCAGGAATTCATCATATTCCTCCATTAATTCCTTAAAACGATTGATGTAGTTTTCATTGTTGTTGGTGGCCAAAGAAATTTCCTTGATGAGATCCTAAAAAGAAGAAAAATTTATTTTATCTTGAAATTCAAAAAATAAAAAATTCAAAATCTCACCCCATCCATCTGCTGCTTAACCTCCTCGGGCATATTATTCATATTAAATCGACGAAAATATGGCCTTATATATTTATCAAAATATTCCGGTTTCTTGAGCCTCAAGGCTATCGGCAGAGCATGATATTTGGCCAATTCCAATAAAATACACTTCGTCTGTTGCAAATTAAACGGAACATGACGATTACCAGCCTTATAACCGGATGTTTGTAAATTCTCTTGCAGTAGCACGGCATCACGATCCACCTTTTCCGCCTCAGGATTTAAAGAAATTCGACTACCATAATATTTAGGAAATCCTTTGAAAATATCATTTTCCGCCATACCAGCCTCCAATTGTACATCCCGTACCGCCTTACTCAAATATTGGTAGACAGCATTTTCCGTCAGGCAGGTACGTTCCGGTTGAAATAATTGCCAAAATAAATCATTTGTAATGGGTGGTAATTTGGCAATCAGCGGAATATCTTCAGTTCCACCTGAGGGTTTTTCAATGTTCGCCGTTATGGCCAACATTACACTGCCATAATTTTCACCCGGCTTGGTGAGATAACGACTTGTGTACGAGACCAATTTGCCGCCATTTAAATGGGGTTCAATAACCGAGGCAAGATCAGCAATTCTGGGTACATCCGTCATGGTAACTAGAAGGGGAATATTGAAATGTTATTAGTCTAAAGAAAATCAAAACAAATAAAGTCGGCCCATCGAACTTTTTCCATCTTCCACCATTCAAAATTTATAAAATTAATGGGAACTTGCACAAAAGAACTTACTTTGAGGACTTTGAATAACATTTAAAAACATATCCGGTGTTTTGAGGTCTTTAAACAAATTTAAAATATCCCATTATTTACAAATACTGGCATTTGAAATAAATAATAATGGTATTTTAAAATATATTTTTCAAAAGGTCTTTAAAGTTATTTAATACGATTTTTCATTAATTCAAAGTTTTTAAAAATATTAAAAAATACCAGTATTTTGAGGACTTGAAAAATATAAAAAAATATTTTTTCTAAAATCCTTGTAATTTAAGGTTTTAAAAAATATTGTTCCAAAAATCCCAGTATTTTGAGATTTTGACGTTTTTAGAATATTAATAAACAGTATTTGAGGTCTTACAAACTATTTACAAAATACCAGTATTTTGAGGACTTTAAAAAATCCCGGTCTTTGACAAAATATTTTTTATTTTATTATTTAATATTTTTTTTATTTTAAAGACTTCAAAAACCTCCTAGTGTTTTGGGATGTTTAAAAATAATGTTTTCAAAATATTAGTATTTGTAAGTATTTACAAAAATCCATGCTATCCTTGTAATTGTTTTGAGAATTATACCTTTATATTAGGGTCTTTTAAAATATTTAAAAAACTAATCCGAGTATTTTGAAGACGACAGTATTTTAAGCTTTTTAAAAAATATTTTTCAAATAAACCTCAATGTTTTGAAGTGTTTAACAAATATTTAATGGAATTTTTCATAATTTCAAAATAAAATATTAAAAAATACCAGTATTTAATATTTCAAAAAAATTTAAATCCCAGTATTTTAAATCTTTATAAAAATGTAAATAAAAAAGATCAAAGTAATTTTAAGTCTTTAAAAAAATTATTCCAAAACATCTCCGTATTTGAAAAAAATCCCAGTGTTTAAAGATCTTAAAAAATATTTTGAAAGACCCCAGTTATAAAATATATATATATATGTCTTCAAAAATATAAAAACCCGGTATTTTAATACTTCAAAAAATATATAAAAATCCCAGTATTTTAATCTTCAAAAAATCCCAACATTTTAAGCCTTCACAAAAATTTAAAAATCCCAGTATTTTAATTCCTTAAAAAAATAAAAATCACAGTATTTTAAGTCTTCAAAACATTAAAAAAACAGTATTTTAAATTTAAATTTAAAATCGCAGTATTTTAATTCTTCAAAAAAAATAAAAACTCAAAAAAAAAATTAAAATCCCAGTATTTTAATTTTTCAAAATTTTTAAAATCGCAGTATATTAGGTCTTCAAAAAAATTAAAAATCCCAGTATTTAAAAAAATATTTTTTTAAAAAATACAAGCCTTTTTTTAATCCCTGAAAAATATTCTTTAAAAATCGACCCCTTGTTTGACTCCCTAAAAAATATTCTTTAAAAATCGACGTCAACAATAGTCTGACTGTCCATGAAAAATTTTCTGTGGTTTTGGTAATCTTCAGTTACTAAAAATTGATTAAACGAAGAGAAATTGAAAACCAGTTTTTGAATTTCAAAATATCTGCAAGTATCGTTTTGTAAATATTCTAATTAATGCTGCTTCCTGGTTTTTGTTGCCTTTGGCATTTAGCTAATTTATTATTTATGGCCTATTACATTTCATTACAGCGACAGCATCTCCACAACATTATTTAGACATGGATGATTAACAAATTATTTAATTTATCGTATAAACGGAATATACGAAAACATAAATATGATGACAAATGGCTGGGTGTTTACCAGTAAACGAGAGAGAATTGTTAGAGCACTATTGAACGGTAAACGTTGTATTAAAGAAAATCAAGTTCGATCAGCTGATTTGTTAATCAGCTGTTTCTTGGCATTGTTTAGACATGGATAAATAACAAACACAATTAAATGTGTCGTATAAAGGGATTATACGAAAACATAAACATGATGATAATTGTTTGGATGTTCTCTTATAAGTCCAGTAATCGAGATTGAATTGTTAGACCACTTAAACGTTTATATCATAAAAAAATCAAGTTCGGCCAGCTGGTTTGTTAATAAGCTGTTTCTTTGCTTTGTTTGTAATAGGATAATATCAAGAGTCAGCTGAGTCTGAGTCAATGTTCTTCTATAAGACCAGTAAACGAGAGAGAATTGTTTGACGACTATTGAAACTTAAACATTTATATTAAAAAGTCTTGTTCGACCGGCTGATTTGTTAATCAGCTGTTCCTTAACCTTATTTGTAATAGGATAATATCAAGAGTTATTAATAAGATCAACCAACAAGCGGAAGTCATCGGAATTCTTCTCAAATCTAATATCAAAAATTTCGGCTTTGTTTACGTTTTCATAATGGAACTCAATTCACAATAATTATTTTGACAGACAACTTAAGAGACAGCTGTAAGAATAGGTTTTTTTAGAATATTTTTTTCGAGCTCGTCAAACGTTGATTTTTATACAATAATTTTAAATAAATTTATACAAGAACCTCAAAAATCCTGTATTTATTTAAGAATATTTTTTTCAGGACCTCAATCAAGGCCTGAAAAAGGATTTCAAGAAGTGGAGGATTTAAAAAAAAAAATTATGGACTTCAGTACGACGACAAAATTCCTTCTTTGGCTCTAACTTGTCTATAAAACCCCCCTTTCGCTCGTCTATAAAGACTCCCTCGTCTCTCGAGACTTCCTACCTTCAGCTCATCTATAAATGCTCCCTTCAGCTGAACTATAAAGACTGCTTCTGCCGGTCTGTTACAACTCACTTCTGCTCGTCGATAAAGACTCCATTCAGTTTGTCTACAAAAGTCTCCCTCCAGGTCGTCGATAAAGGTATGGTCTATAAATAAGGTCACCCAGGGATACCAGCTGGAAATCGATAGAATTGTTTGACGACTATTGAAACTTAAACATTTATATTAAAAAGTCTTGTTCGACCAGCTGATTTATTAATCAGCTGTTTCTTAACCTTATTTGTAATAGGATAATATCAAGAGTTATTAATAAGATCAACCAACAAGCCAAGGACATCGGATTCTTCTCAAGTCTAATGTCAAAAATTTCGGCTTTGTTTACGTTTTCATAATGGAACTCAATTCACAACAATGATTTTGACAGACAACTTAAGAGACAACTGATATCTCCCTGTACGACCTTATTTATAGGCCTTAGTTTATATTATAAATAAATCAAGTTCGATCAGCTGATTTGTCAATCAGCTGTTCCTTAACCTTATTTGTAATAGGATAATATCAGAGCTATTAATAAGGTCACCCAGCATGCGAAAGTAAGCTAATTCTTCCTAAGTCAAATGTCAAAAATGTGGGCTTTGTTTACGATTTAGGAATGGAAGTCAATTCACAATAACGGATTTTGACAGCAAACTTGGGAATCAACTGATATACACCTGGTCTCCCCGGATGATGACCTTATTAAAAAGGCCTTGGATAATATCGGGGAATATTAATATAAATTAGATGTGTTCGTTAAGTTCAACGTCTAGTAAGTGAGAGCGAGTTTAGAGAGAAATCTTGGCAAATGTGTTACTTTGGGATTTTTCTATGTAACAATTGTCAGCTGTTTTTAAAATAGTTGTAGAGAGATAAATTTGTTTTCGGGTTTTCTAAAAAAAAAGAAATGAAAATACAGAACAAACTCTTGGACTTTAAAAAATATTTAAAAATTTACGCACTTATCGTAGACCATAAATTTATTTCAAATCCACGCTTATAGTACCCCTCAAAGTTTGTTAGCTTTTTTTAATTTTCGTTCCACATTGTTTGCTAGGATCCCTCATTTTAAAATAATAAAAAGAAATGCTTTTTAAACACAGTTTCTTTGTGACTTTCTTTATCACACAATTATGTAACTGTTTACAGTTTTTAAATTAACTATTTTTTATTTATAAATCATAAATTTTAATAGTATAGTATTTTATTATGTATTTTTTTAATACGAAAAACGTTTTTAGTTATTATCACACTCATTTACAAATTTTTGCGATCTTCATTTAGTCCACTTAATTAAGTTTCCCCCCAATCAAACCGATTTATTTATTAGACCATTGTCATCCAAACAATTGATTCATCAAAACTTACATCTGGTTTTGGATTTGTTTTTTTTTTTTTTTTTTAGAATTCTAACACAAGTTTTATTTTTTTCTTCTAATTCGCACGTTTTGTTTCTTTTTTTACACAAGACAAAAATTCGCTCTGCTAAGGGCCGTCGATCATAACAGACTGTGTACAATTAAACTATTCGAATGCGAAATCCACAAGTTTTTTTGGTTTTCAAAAAAAATGAGAATAAATGCTAATAACAACAACAAGAAAATACTAATAAATTATGTGAAAGTAGTAAATAGTGGGACCATCAAATACACGTATCTCTGACTATGGTGTTGACAATGTAGCGGGTTTTCTATTTTTTATAATTGCGTGGATTTTTGAAAGAATAAAATGCGTGGATTTTTGAAAGAATATTTATTCAAGAATTCAAACAAGGCGTGGATTTTTTAAAAATATTTTTTAAAGCTCCTATAAAAGGCTTGAATTTTTTTAAGAATACAGAAGGCGTGGATTTTTAAAGAATATTTTTTCAGGGACTTAAACAAGGCGTGGATTTTTATTTTTTTTTCGAATGTTAAGGAAACAGTTTTAATGAATCTCAAAAAGCCTGGATTTTTTAAAGAATATTTTTTCGCAAAACGCCTCGAATCTTAAGGAAACAATTTTAAAGGATCTCAGAAAGCCAGGATTTTTTAAAGAATATTTTTTCAAGGACCACAATAGGCGTGGATTTTTAAAGAGTATTTTTCAAGGACCACAATAGGCGTGGATTTTTAAAGAGTATTTTTCAAGGACCACAATAGGCATGGATTTTTAAAGAGTATTTTTCAAGGACCACATTTTGAA